ACATTAGTCTTATTTAATTTCTTTCCTCTCTGCCCATTTTTTCACTGTCTTTCTTTCATCCTGCTATAATATTTTTTTCATCTTACTGCTTCCTCTGTGGTCTGCTTTTCCCACTTCCATGGAAGTCACAGCAGCATCCTTGCCAGTGGAAAATCCCACTCAAAGCCTGTTGGTCAGTATTTCTCCCTTTTTCAGACAGTAACTCTACCCCAGCTGAAACCAGGACTTGAATTGAGTGAATCGGCAAAATGAGCCAGTGGAACTGGACTTACATGGTAAACAAAACATTCAATCCTCTGTCACCACTGCCAGTAGTGAAAACCTGTGGAGAAAAAAGCAAAAGCAAGAGCAAGAAGATAGAAATGAGTTTTCATCTAGGCAGGGACTTTATCTGATCAAGAGGCAAGAGCCCATTTCCAATACAGCTCCACCACTTTGAGATGGAACCCATGTAAGTTTATGTACTAGCTAAGATAAATGTTATGATCATTTCACATCATTGTGATGTCTGGGGTATAACAATACTTTCTCACTGTGGCTATATGAGAAAACTTGGGGAAATGAACAGGTATAAACTGCATTATACAAACTAATGTAACATTTATGTAGGTAAGATTAGATCATACACTGGCTGAAGAACAGGGGCTTGTCTGCATTTACATGCAGAAGCAAAATGATTCCCCAGTCTGAATTTCTTTAATTCATTTCATTTCATTACAGACAGTCACTTTCCCATATTGGTACACCTGGGAAGACACATGCCCTATACAGGCAAAAAAGTTTTTCCTCTTGTAAAAGGTAGTTTTGTCCTTAAGTTCTGGATTCCTTATGTTGCACAATGCTCCACCTTGGACAGGACTGTGGGGACAAAGGCCCAAGTTTAGGCAACTTAAATTCTACTTAATCCTCTCTGCCACCTCTGGAGGCTCAGCCTTTCGTGCACACAGACCTCAAGTGCAGAACAAGCTGATCTCCTAGAAATGGGTTCTGATTTCTGTCTCAGTCTGGGCCTGAACAATATAACAAGCATAGAGCTAAAAGTATGCCATATTCTACAAGGATTTCACATTTTACCCAAGACTTGGTAGGTTAAGGCCTCTGCATTGGCAGACCAAGGCAGTTATGAAAGAACAAAGGTCTATTTTCAGCAGCTGCACACTCTACACCTGAAGATATTCAGTAATATTAATTGCAAAATATTAGTGAAGCAATATCATGCTGCCTACTCAAGTCCTCAAATTCCTATTACAGAAAGATAGATATTTTCCATAGGAAAAAAACTGGCAGTGAAGAAACCTATCTAGAAAAGAAGCACATCCAGACAAGGCACTCGAGAATATGCTTAATTTCATTCCACATTAGTGAAAGTCTGGAATATAAATGCATGCTTAAATGCTTTCTCAGACGTGGTTACAGAATGGAGCTACAGGTCACACACACAAAATTCTCTCATATTTTTGGGCTCTTGGTTTGTTCTACAGAAATCAGTGACTTCTCCCACTTTTAGATCCTATGTTAAAATACTTCTGGGGCAATAAACTTGACCACTCAATAATGAACATGCATAATTAACTAAGAAATGAGAATTTCTCAGTCTGAAAAAAATTTATTTTCTTATTTTGACAGTTAAGCATCCAACAAAATATGCATGGCTTCGATACTGATCAGCTCGTTCTCTACCAGAGTCCCCCATCCTGTGTTACACCTCTTCCTGTATTTGGCAAACCAACACCATTAAGGTACTGTCAAATGAAAGAAAGAGAACTTCTAGTAGAATTTAAAAAAATGTATGAGTAAAGAGACTAATTTCACTCCTTTTTTCTCATTTAAATGAGAAAAAAAGTTTTTAACATTTTTTAAATTATTTAAAATACCAATCTGAATATTTAAATCAGATTGAATATTTTAAGTCAGATTCCAAAAATTTAATAAAATTTACTGCAACAAACACACTCATATTAGAAGACAGGCACAGTGCAAGTTATTTCCCATTCTTAGGCATCAGCTTCTTGGTAGTTATTTCTCAAATGATGTTCAACATTCCCATTTTCTAACCTGTTTTGAAGACCACAAAAGATGACCACAGAAACCAGCAGGTTAGTAGCAGATTTATTGTAAATTACTAAGCAAAAAATATGAGTGGTCTCAACCTTCTGGATCTGAAGTTAGCAACCATGTGATTTACGAAGAGCAGATGAGGTTTTAAAAATGATAACTAAAGTCATGATAGTTTCACATTCATTTCCAGAGATACTTGCATCCCTGTTAACTTTATCCTATCTCTTTTCATGCATTTGATCACAGTGTAATTTTCCATGAGCTGACACTGCTTTACTCCCCTAATCTACCATTCTTCCCCACCTACAGGAAATAGTCTAAATACATTTCCAGGAAAAAAAAAAAGTCCAAACAATATAAGTTTCTGATCTCACGGGGCTTCTAATATACAAGTGCAAGAGTGAGTCCTTACCACTTGCCTCTTGTCACTCCTAATAGTAAAAGCAAAGCTCCAAAGACATCTGTGGATAGAATATGCTTTGAATACCACTACTAAATTGCACGGGAATAGCATTTGAAGACCAAACTTAACATCCTTTCTTAGCTATTGACAGCATACAAGTCTTACACAGGCAAATGCCTATTAAAGTCCAAAATGCTTGGCTCTTGCGAGCACTAAATAAAATTCCTAAGAAGGCAACAGCTACCAGGTTTGCTGACACAAAATTAAACTGGTACCCTTGAGGAATGAATGAACTAATTGTTGTGTTTGACCAAAAGAGTGTGCTGCTTGACTATGTTCACCTGGCTTATTAACCAGTTGATTACATAATTACGCATAATAATAGAATTATGATGTGATTATTATATTTTCATTGTCAAACATAGTAGGTGGATTTAAGGAAAGGAAACAAATCAAAATCTAATACAGACAGTTTGCTAATTAAGCTAGTTATCATTACCACTGTGAAAACAATACAGAATTCCCAAGAAATCATTTATATCTATGTACAGTTACATGTTTAACCTAGATATCTACAAATACCTAAACAGGTTCTGTACCATGACCTATGTGATATATAGAACAATACAGACCCCTGGACTGGTCTCTGCTGATCCTAGCCTTTGAATGATTCAAGGCAATTTATACACATTTGAATGGGCTTTCCAATGGAGATGCTAAGACGATGTAAAATTACTTACAAGCATCTTAGCTAAAAGCAGGACCTACAACTTTATGCTGGAACTTGATGCAGGGTGGATTCCATCCATGCTTGCTAGTTTAATGAAAGTAAATATGCTGCTATTCTTCAGAGTTAGAATATTTTTCCTCTAGGATAAGCAAGACAAGCTACTAATATTTCACATGATGGACTGATGGGGAAACTGCTTTCTCTTGAACAAAATTGTACTATCTTTTGCCATGTTTCCATTGGAAAGAACACACATATTTTGAATTATTGAATGGGCTAAATACATTTCAATCATTTGCTTTCAAGGAAAAGAAGTCACAAAAATGAGCTCAAATAACCCTCAGTAAAAGCCTTGCTGCTGTACTTGTTCTCCCCAGGCTCATGGCATTTCCATAGACAAGCTGTCCCATCAGCCGCAACAGAAAAGAGCCTGCTCTGATCTGGGCTCAGGGCTGTGTGGAGGACTCTCCCTTTGTGACCTGTAAAATAAAATATATACAAAAAAAGAAATATATATCACAATTCTGTACTGATTATGCCAGTCATTTTCACCATCCTCAAGCCACACTATGGCTTGTTCCATTTTACTGCAGCAGCAAAACATGCTGCACAGGATGTGGGAAGCTCTATTATCTAAGAATATCTAAAATTAGCTATAGAATATGTTCACATTAAAAGAGCTGAAGGCAGTAAGTAAATTGAATAGGAAAACAGGAATGAATGCTATAAAAAGGTTACTGTCTTACGGTTGTTATTCTGTTCTGCTCAGTAATAGCCAACCTCAATTACTAAAGTACCCAACAGTTGCTGATGGTTCTTCATTGTTAGCTGTAATCTTCACATCTTGCAGGAAGATTTAACAATGACATTTAGATACAATTTATCTGTTCATTTCTTTGGGTGTAAAACTCATGTGGTTAAAGGTGTTTGAGGCTGATTTCGAACCACCTCACAATCATCCATCACAGTATTTTTTCTGAACATTTTTGATACATTCACAATTTCTTCCAACATTCAATTGCTTAGAGAAACGTATTAAGAGTTTTCATAAGCAGGAACATCTGTGTAACAATTACCTGGTCTTTTAGTTCATGAAAATTAGTTTCTTCTGCAGATGAGTAAACTGAATAGGAAACAGGATGATGTGTAACACTCCAGCTTCACTAAATTACCAATGCATTGGACTCATACAGTAAATGTTTTACTCCATACACTATTCTCAAAGGTAAGATTAAATCTAGTTTTCATTTCATGTAATATAATCAAGACTTACAAAGATTTGAGAAACCTCAAGCTTCCAGATAATTTCTCATAGCATCACAGGACATTACCTTAAAAGATGTACATAAATGAGGAGGGATAAGGAATGAAAAGCAACACAGACAAGCAGCATTACACAACGACAATGTGTAACTAGATCCACATATGTCTCTGCTGCCCTTTCTCTTCCATACATCTTTGTTCTGGCCCTCCTGTGCCTTCCTCTTACAGGCTACTGTGGAAGCAAAGTCCCTGGTTCCACCCAAGTCCCTGGTTGACATTCCAAGGCTTCTTTGGCCATACCTTTTCAGTGAGTATGAAAAACCAACCCTACATAAGAAAATGCAGCCAGTGCATAAATAATTGGTTTTCTTCCTTTAACTTCAGACACTTCTACTGGACCACTTCAGTTAACACTGAAACAAGTAAAACTTAATGGATAGGAGTGACAGCAAGCGCCAGAAACAAGAAAACCTAATAGCAAGGAACAACTTTTATGCGTAACATAACCCTACAAAATGCTGCAAAGAAACTCCACCTTCCTCTAGCTGTCAACATGGTACAAGGGAAACACGCTGCACCACATTGTTTCACAGCCAAAATCATTCATTAAAACCCAGACAGCAATAACACATGATGATTTACTTTAAATATAATTTGGAAGGTGGTTCAGTATCCTTGCATGATAAGCTGCAAAATCAAAGAGCGAAATCTAGTTCATATTATCTAGAAGGCCATCAGCCTAGAATACACTGGAAGCAACCTCACATTAACACACTTAATCCAGGCCTAGTAAGCCTTAGGGAGAAGTGGAAATCCACATCCTGCACCTGGGACAGCCTTAGAAGTAACAGGAGATAATCCCATCATTGAAACAAAAAAATTTTACAAAAGCAATTTAGACTATTACCCTAATAAGTCAACCTTTACAATCCCATGAATTAGGATTGTGCACATGAATGCATTGTGTAGGCAGAGGAAGGATGTGTGGGTGACTGCTCTTTTAACTCTTTTTTTACATAAATGCATGATGTATGCGCTTGCAAAAACACACTGGTTAGACAGATAGTTAACTGAAGTAATTAAAACTACTAAATTAAATACTTGCCATAGAGTTCTGATGAATTGATAAGAATGGGATACTTCCATATTTTCATCTGATGTCCAGGAAGGCCATGTCCAGTCATCAGTTCGCTGGTTTTGGGTAACCAGAGCAAGGAACAAATCTATTGCAATTTAAAATTCTGCTTTAGTTTTCAGAAAGCATCAACATACATTATTAAGTAGAGCTGAAATGCTGTGTACAATGTTTAAACAAGCTACTGTGAAAGTCTCAGCAAAATATTTACTCATTTAGAAGGATCATTCAATTTGTTACAACACTTCAAAGTACAGCTGCCTCATTGTCTTATCTAAATGTGACAATAGTTTATCAGTATAATATGAAAGCCCTTCAAGCACATCCTCAGCTAAGCTGTAATAGCTCCAGGAAAATAAACAGTTATGCTGCTTTACTCCAGCTGAAAATCTGTTCCTCTGTCTCCTAATATTCAAACTCCAGAGACGGATGTTTGCCCTCTGACTCTTACACCTCTTCTCACCCCAGCACTCTGGAAACTTGCCCTCCTCCTCAACATTCTCTCCACATCAAGAATTTTGGCCAAAACTATTACTTCCAATAAGGAAAAGGTTATGAGAAGTGTCTGGCTGCAAGACCACCTCTTCTTCAATCACTTCTATGTGGAGACAGAAGTGGTGAATAGCAAACAACAAACTGCTTCTGAATCTAATCACACACTGCCGTGCTGAGTGTAGCACAATTGGACATCCAGAGAAAATCCTGCTGTGTCTCTGACCACAGAACCACCCTCAAAGTCAGTGGGAGTCTGCCAAATAAGCACAGCTATACAAGAAGAGCATAGCCTAAGAATGCAGACATTTCATCATTTCACCTGAGAATCTGTAGCTGCACTTTGAATGATTTTCTCATGATTAATGTCCCAGACACGCAAAATCCCATCTTTCATTCCACCCCCTGTAGCAAGGACTTTGGACTGCCAAGGACACCAGTTCATAGCCTGGGGAAAAAAAAACAAAACAAAACAAAACAACAAAAAAAACCCAACCAAACAAGAAAAGATACCAGAAGAGACTATACTAGGAGGTTAGCTGAAAAAACAGTTTTTAAAAGCCTAGTTGGAAAAATGAACTGCAACAAGCACCCAGAATGCACACACACAGGATCCCAAAACTCAAAATGCTGCTCCCCTTGCCATTGTTTCACGGGACTCTACACTGTCACACACATGCTCATAAAACTCCGTCTTCTCTGCTTAACTTCACAGGCCACAGACTCACACTTCAAAACTGGCAGAACCCAGCAGGATAGTCTTACTGCCTAAGCCATTGTAGAAGCCTAAGCATCACGATTTACATGGCTTAAAAGAGACCTGGTTTCTTCTGAGATATTTTCAGGATATGCCTTAAGGCTCAGACTCAACTGAAGAAAACTAAGAACTCAATTCCACCTGTTTCAATAAACTCCTCTCACTCTTTAACCCCAGCATTTTGTGCCAGCCTCAGGCTCTTTCAGGAGGATAAACAGCTTATAAATGCTGGACTCCTCTGCCTCTTACTGCTAATACCTGTCCTGTCTCCCACACAGACTGGAACTTCATTAAGGATGATAAATCTTTAATCGTCTCATTTCCAGTTTACTACTTAAGATTGTTTCCTAGCAACAATGACATGAAAATATGGGCAGGACGCAAAACAAACCTCATATTTAAATCAATTGCAGCAGAGAGAATTTTCCAAAATTCAAAAAATTGAAAGATCTTGTTTGTTAACTTTTAAGTATTGTGTCACAAAACTTCTTTGTGCAAGGCAGAGAGAGGACAAGGATGTAAACTTTACTTCTGTTTGGCATTATATTTCCAAAGACCTAATAATCCAGTAACTTCTCCTAATCAAAGCCCTAGCAAACTTATTTGTGAGTTGGAATGAGGAGAACTGGTCTTAAAATTAACTGCACCACAGACAGGGAGAAGAAACTAATAAATATTATTGAGATAATTTGAAAAATTACCTAACTGTCCATATCAACAATGTGATTTCACAAGAGCAAATATAGAAAAGCAGACATTCCTTCTCCACATACCTTAACTGCTGAGGAATGTGGTATGGTTTTCAGTGGCTGTAACTGCAATTTCACACCAGGGTCATTAGGCCAGATATTCAATATACCATGACTAGACCCACTTGCCAGCAACTGGTTGGTTAGTGACCATTTCAAGCTGCAAATGCTTTGCTTATTTTGGCAAAGAGTCCCAACATGGTGCTGAGCAACCCGAACATCATGGTGATGAATAGATCCTAGTCGTGAACCACTGTGGGTGAGAAAAGACAGAATGGGTTTAATATTAAAGAAGACAAGCTACATCATCACACCAATATTTCTTCAATAGTTTCAGAAGCAAACCACATCAGAATGAAATGTGTCTGCAGAACAACAGTAATTAAGTAAAAGATAACACAAACCAACTATCAAAAGCACACCCTGACTGTAGGGGAGTGACTGACAATAGAAAGGAGCCAAACAGCTGCTCAGTTCAAGCCAGACAGAATACTTGCTGTCTCTTGTGGGCTTCATTTTCCTGAAGATACATTGCATTGTATGCCACTAATCTGCACTCTGTTCAACTGTCAGGCCATTTAATGTAAACTATTTCCTGTTCTTCATGAAAAATCATTTCACAAGATGATTTTTGCCAAGGCTGGATATGCCTCCATGTCCAACAAAGAGGCAGTGTAAAACTGCATTGCTCTGGGAAAGGGCTTACTAACAACTGTGTTCTTTGGTTCTGTCCCTTCCCTTGACTCCTTCCTCCCTCCCACTTCCAGGCTTAAAAAAAAATCCGTACAGCTTGACACTGTTGCACTAATTGCCTGTTAGGAAATGGATGCATGGTTCTACAGCCATCATCATCAGTCTGCCAAAGGAAGAAGGAAATACCCTGCCTGGAAGCAGAGCTACTGTTACAGCTTAGCTCCCAGATATGGGCATTACATCAAGAGCAGATCTGAACCGAAAATTCTGAAAATACTTTGCAGTGCATTTTCTTTTCCTGCTTTTTTAAGGATATTACCTACATTAAACATGACAAAACGTAAGAGATTCCTGC